AAAGATTTCAGATTTGAAAGTTGAGAGATTTTGAGAGTGAGAAGAGTGGCAGGGAGCAGATGTTCCTTGAGCAACGTCTCCAGCGGGTCCTTGTTTCTGGTGATTATAAATTCTCGAAGAGAGACAAGTCCTTGCAATCCCCACTCCTCTGAAGGCCTCAGTCTCTCACAATTTTCGATCCAAAATGCTTGTAGGTTGCGAGGCATACCCCCTTGTGCAAGTGACTCCAGATTTGGAAGATTTTGTATCCACAAATGTTGAAGGGCGGTGAGGGTGTGCATTTCGTCCGGCAACAACTTCAAACTCTTGCATCCCCAGACTGAAAAGGAAGTCAGGTGGGGAGTGGGCAATCCTCCGTCGTGAAAAGAGACCAGATTTGGACATCTCCGGAGAGACAGGTAGTCGAGATGGCTGAGATTTTCGACTGCTCTTCCTTCAACATAAAGGGACTCCAGATTCTGACAACCATAGATACCAAGAGTTGAAAGCTTGGGGAAGATGCCCAAAGGGAACGACCTCAGAGAATCACAGCAATCCAAAACTCTAGCCTCTCTAAAGATTGAAACGGTTGATATCCCCCCCGTAGAATTCAACACCAACACTCGTAGCATGTTTCATGCTTTCTACATATAATCATTTAGATGTGGATGCCTTGTCAAAACGTTGTCAAGTCAGCAATTTCTTTGGTGGTGTTAGATTTTGATATTTTTCATCCATCCTGGTCATATGGATAGCACTTGGCAATTGTACGAGGGCAAACTTGTAATTATAAAAGTTCAGAAAGGTAATCGACATTCAAATTCGAGAGAGGGGACGAATTGACAAAAACCTCAACTATTACTAAGATTAAAGTTTTTTAGGGTCTGAACCCAAAAAGGAATTTGCTTTTTAACTTAAAGTGTGCTAGTTGTTACCATCGAAAGAATAAGAGTAAATTGTAGCTATGGTCCCTGAACTTTACTCAAATTGAAGTAATGATCCTTCAACTAAAAATTCATTACCATTGGTCCTTCAACTCATTAAAACGTGCAACTATGGTCCCTCAACTAAAAATCCATTACCTTTGGTCCCTCAATTTTAATTTAACTGGAGAAATGGTCCCTTAACTTTATCCCAATTGTAGCTATGGTCCTTCAAACATAACTCCTTTTGACAAAAAAATTTACATAGTTAACAAAAATGACCATAATTACACACTTTGATAAGTTGAGGGACCCTAATTAAGTAAATGGTTATTCCAACCTAACATATTTTGACAAAATTTTGAAGAAATTAATGAAAATAACTATAGCTACAAATTTTGATAAGTTGAGGGACCAATGGTAATGGAATTTTAGTTGAGGGACCATTACTCCAATTTGAGTAAAGTTCAGGGACCATTGCTACAATTTACTCAAAGAATAATGTACAAGACAATAGGGTGTTGAAGAGCGGCCTCATCAAAACCTTGTTGGGAATTTCAACCAACGGAAGGAAAAAGAGTACCACGCACCAACAATTTACAAGATACGACGGTCTAGCTTCTATTAACTAAAACATCCAAAATATAGTCGTCAAACTATAGCAACTCTTGATATCGTGCAAGTCTATGTGCAACCTTTTAGGCCTCTCGTCTCACATAATATTGGGCCAGACGCAGAATAATCCTCCCCCTTTTGCAACAGCCCTGCCAAAGCTAGAGTGCAATGACTCTCCACTTCCACAGCAGCAGCCTCCAAATCAGCCACCATCGGCAGCCAACGACGTAGGGATCTGGCCTCAATGTACGTGGTAGAGGAAAACGAACTCCACACGCACGCACTTGGCTGCACAGGCAGCAACAAAGTGTGCATTTGACTGCATTAGAATCAGAAAAACAAATACTATATATTAAGAGAAACAATGAATGGACCCCTTAGCGATTGGGAAATTTTGCTGCTATGTGCGATAATGTACATGAAGCATTACTACGGTTGAGTTGCTACTTACCAAGAAGGTTTCTAAATTTAAGAGCCCGCTGCTCCAACTTTACCCATCAAACTTGGGTTAAGGTGAAGCATCGTCTATTTCTCCACTGCATCTTCCTCAAGAGCGGGAAAGAACGCAGAGCTTTACCTTCACAAGCTTTCTACAGTTTAATTCTGAATCGAACTGTGAAAAGCATGTTCTCTCAAATCCATTTCAATAGGATGCCAACTCAACTGCTTCCCTTTTTCATACCTCAGCTTAACAAGATACTCCTAAATTCAAAGATGAAGAAATTATTATGGATACATTTATCTTAGAAAACAAGCAAATAGAACTTAAAACAAGAGAGTGGTGGAAAGCTAATTTACAGCTCGTCTGCAGTGCTCAACGTAAGAATTATCATTCTTGTGAAATCAGTAGCACACCAGCCAACCACTTACTCTAGTAATATTATTTACTGGAATACCAACGCAAGCATGAGAATAGTGCTACAAGGATCAAGCGAGCTGTTCCACCACTCTGTCTGTACAAAAGCATATCTGCGCCCATTCGTAGATGAGAGTGACATCAAGAGAAGATAAAAAGGCATGCCTCTCATATTCAAACTACAACAGCATTAGAAAAAACAGCACTCCAGGGGTTACCTCTCCAACATAAGTAAAATTATATTCATGCCAGATAACTGGAGCTAGCACCATTCAAGGACAACTAATTGATGCATGTTAAATCGTTGGCTATAGATAATCCTCTCTGTACATTTCCAGAGTTGCCATCTGCATCAATAAAGCCGACAAATACGTTGGTCCCATCGAATTGTCCTGACTGATTGCATAGTTGAATTACAATGATACATAAAGGAAGCACAAATTGCACTCCAAGTGTTCAACTACTTACACTGAAATCTGTAGATGCAGCAGCCAGCCACCAAGTCTAGTAACACTGGCATTCTAGCAACCGATGCCAATAAGCCATACTCTCTCCAACCATTGTCTTTGCGGAGAAACATATGTGTATGCACCTACCACAAGATGACAGAGGCATTGAAATATGGGTAAGCATTCCGCCATATGGAAACCACAGCAGTATATATATACACAAGTACCTGAGTGGTTGATGTAAGCTAACATCGTTTTCCCTCTGATAATCCTATCTTTGCAGTTCAATAGTTTTCTCTCTGGACCGACGAAGTCCCGCATACATTCAATCCTTATATAGCTGTTGAAGAGAGCTTGAGGTTTAGAGGGTCGAGTCCCGGCAGGAATTGCGAGTGGGAGGCGTTGTAAGTCCATTTCCGTCCAAAAGATTTCAAACTTGACAGTCCAGAAACCAGAGCACCATTTGATAATCCTATCTTTACGGGTTTGCTTGCTCGCTGCATCAGTGAAACCGATATATCTGTTAGTCCCATCACACCTACCACAAGATTAGAGTTATGTCGCAAACGAGAGAAGTATGAGAAAACCATCATCCAGGGTTTTACCTCTTGTCATGCAGGAGAATCATATATATCCACCCCCAAGTAGTTCCACAGTATCAGACTACAAATAATTCACTCCCCTCCCACTCTCCTGTAATTTCATCGTAATTAAACTCTGAAACTTTAATTTAAGCTGGAATATTGCTGAGGACAATCAATTTAATAATAAATAAAATAGTACCTGGCTTTTGTCTTGAGAGTTGAGAGTTGAGAGTTGGAGAGTGAAATGAAAGCTCACAAGAGGTTGACTTCTCCATCTATCTCTATGCAAGGAATGCGATCTATGTTCTCATACCTCTTCTTCAGAGAAGGACAACCCCAAGATGTTCAGATAAGAAAGAGATTCCGGAAAACCCTCTTTTGGCAGGAATTTGAGACTTTCGCACTTTGAAATTTGTAGCTTTTGAAGAGAAGTGAGGTGCTCAAGTCCCTTTCCGTCCATAGATTTCAGATACCATACATGAGAGATTTGGAGAGTGTGAAGAGTGGCAGGGAGCAGCTGTTCATTGAGCAACGTCTCCAGCAGATCCTTGGTTCCTTCGATCCGAAATTGTCGAAGAGAGACTAGCCCTTGCAATCCCCATTCCACTGAAGGCCTCAGTCTCTCACAAAATTCGATCCGAAATTGTCGAAGAGAGACAAGCCCTTAGAATTACTCTCCACTTCCACAGCTGCAGCTTCCAAATCAGCCACCATCTGCAGCCAACGACATAGTGCTCTGGCCTCAGCGTACCTGGTAGAGGAAAATGAACTCCCCCGCGCGCACTTGGCTGCACAGGCAGCAACAAAAGTGTGCATTTGGCTGCATACGATTCAGAAAAGCAAATACTATTAAGGGAAACAATGAATGGACACCTTAACGATGGGGAAATTTTCTGCTATGTGCGGTAATGTACACGAAGCACTACCACGGTTGAGTTGCTACTTACCAAGAAGGTTTCTAAAATTGAAAGCACGTTGCTCCAACTTTCCCCATCAAACTTGGGTTAAGGCGTATCACCAACTATTTCCCCACGGCATCTTCCAGACTTCCTCTAGATTGGTTAACCAATCAAATGATCGCCTACATATATATAGTGAGTGAATCTGCAATGTTCAAATAATTTTTTTCTTCGTTTGTTAACTTGCTATGCAAGTCACACGACATCACAAGACATCACGCATGCTAATATACAGAAAACAAACCTCCGAGTCCAGATGCAACTTTCAATATTCTCTTGATTTCTCATGAAATCCACAATGGTGAGAAGAATGCTATAACCTCTCAGTTCCTTTGGATCACTTCCGGGAGAAAAGATGTTCATACGCAGCAACAATAGGCACAATTTCATTTAAAGTATGTGATATATATTATTCTTTAAGGAGACTATGCGGATTCTGAGTTTTGATGAAAATGTAGGAAAAGAACGCAGAGCTTTACCTTCACACACTTTCTACCGTTTCATTCTAACTCCAAAGTGAAAAGCATATTTTCTCTCAAATCCATTTCAATAGGATGCCAACTCTCAACTGCTTTCCTTTTTCATACTCAGCTTAACAAGCTACTCCTAAATTCAAAGATGAAGAAGATTTTTCCGTACCAGCATCTTCTACCTATACCGCAGTTGAAGCACCTAAAGGAGAATTTGGTGTCTTTCTGGTCAGTAATGGTTATCTTTAAAACAAGCAAACGGAACTTAAAACAAAAGAGTGGTGGAAAGCTCATTTACTGGAATATCAACAAATGCAAGCATGACGACAGTGCTACAAGGATCAAGCGCGCTGTTCAACCACTTTGTTTGTACAAATCTGCACCCATGCGAAGATGAGAGTGACGTCAAGAGAAGATGAAAATGCATGCCTCTCGTATTCAAACTATAAACAGTATTTAGAAAGGAAAAAAAAAAACATCATTCCAGGGGTTACCTCTCCGATTAAAGGAGAATTATATTCATTCCAGATAGCTGGAGTAGCACCATTCAAGGACAACTAATTGATGCATGTTTAAATTGTTGGCAGTAGATGATCCTTTCTTTACAATTCCCGAGTTGCCATCTGCATCAATAAAGCCGACATATATGCTAGTCCCATCGTTACACTAAAGTGTTCAACTGCTCACACTGAAATCCGTAGGCGCAGTAGCAGACAGCCACTGAGTCAAGTAACAGTGACATTCTAGAAAGCGGTGCCAATAAGCCATGCTCTCTTCAACCATTGTGTTTGTATATAAACATTTGTGTATACACCTACCTCAAGATGACAGAGGCATTGAAAGATGAGCGAGCATTCCGCCGTATGGAAACCACAGCAGTACATCGGAGAAACAAAAACATCATCAAGGAGCCCATGCAGGGTGAATCATATATGCGAGAGATTGCCGCCGCACCAATCAACAACCAGTAATTGATATGTAAGCTAAAACCGGTTGCTATTATATTTGATGAAACTGTCCTGAAATTTCAAGAAACATGTAAATGTTAGGGGAGAAATGAAAAATAAGAGAAAGAAGAAAGGGTAGCACAGTTGAATTATACTGCTAAAAAGTAATTTAACAAAATTAAACGCAAGTGGTGTCATATATATACATAAGTACCTGAGTGGTTGATGTAAGCTAACATCATTTGCCCTCTGATAATCCTATCTTTACAGTTCAATAGATTTCTCTCTGGGCCGATGAAGTCCAACATACATTCAATCTTTATATAGATGTTGACGAGAACTGAGGTCTGCAGTTCCCTGTTGAATGTCCATTTCTGTCCAAAAATTTCAAACTTGACAGAAAACCAGAGCACCATTTAATAATCCTATCTTTACAGGTTTACTCTGTTTGCTCACTGCATCAATGAAACCGATATACCTGCTACTACCATCACATTGTCCTGATTTAGCATATAGTTGAATTGAACTGTCAAAGAAAAAGACTGATATATAAATGCAATATAGATAAGGCAAAATGAAGATAGAAAAAGTGAGAAAGTAAATTAATTTACAGCTGATCTGCAATTTTCCACCAGTGAAATCCTCCTTAATATAAATGCAATCTAGCAACGCATTGTACATGCTGGCATTCAAGCAAGCTCAGCCATTAGGCACTCTTCAACTGTTGTGTTAGTAGAGAGAAACATATCTCCTGTGGACCTACCTGAAGATTACAGTTACAGTGAAAGATGAGAAAGTTATGCCACAAACGAGACAAGTATGAGAGAACCCTCACATGCAGGAGAATCATATATCCACCCCAAGTAGATACACACTATCATACTACAAAAAAGTCACTCCCATCACACTCTCCTGTAATTTCATCGGAATTAGACTCTGAAACTTGAATTTAAGTAGGAATATTGTTGCTAAGGAAAATCAATTTAATAATAAATATAACGGTAAAAGATGTTCATAGGCGGCAACAAGAGGCATAATTTCATTTAACGTATGCGAAATATATTTTTCTGTAAGGAGAGTATGTGGATGCCGAGTTTTGATGAAAATGTAGGAAAAGAACGCAGAGCTATGCCTTCACACACTTTCTACCGTTTCATTCTAAATCGAACTGTGAAAAGCATGTTTTCTCTCAAATCCATGTCAGTAGGATGCCAACTCAACTGCTTTCCTTTTTCATACCTCAGATTAAAAAGATACTCCTAAATTCAAAGATGAAGAAATTATTATTGATACATGTATCTTAGAAAACAAGCAAATGGAATACCAACAAACGTAAGCATGACAAAAGATCAAGCGCGCTCAATCTGTACAAAAGCATATATGCGCCCATTAGTAGATGAGAGTCACATCAAGTGAAGATGAAAAGGCATGCCTCTCATATTTAAACTAAAAAAAAAGTAATAGAAAAAAAAAACATCATATCAGGGGTTACCCCTCCAATTAAAGGAGAATTATATTCATGCCAGATAGCTGGAGCTAGCACCATTCAAGGATAACTAATTGATGCATGTTTAAATCGTTGGCTGTAGATTATCCTATCTTTACAATCCCAGAGTTGCCATCTGCATCAATAAAATGCCATCTGCATCAATAAAGCCAACAAATACGTTAGTCCCATCGTGTTGTCCTGACTTATAGCATAGTTGAATTACATTGTTACCGAAAGGCAGTACATATATACACAAGTACCTGAGTGGTTGATGTAATCTAACATCGTTTTCCCTCTGATAATCCTATCTTTACAGTTCAAAAGTTTTCTCTATGGACCGACGAAGTCCCACATACATTCAATCTTTGTATGGCTGTAGACGAGAGAGGTCTAGAGGTCCCTGTCCCGGCAGGAATTGTGAAAGTGGGAGGTATTGAAAGTTCATTTCGGTCCAAAAGATTTCAAACTTGACAGTCCAGAAAATCAGAGCACCATTTGATAAACCTATCTTTACAGGTTTGCTTGCTCGCTGCATCAGTGAAACCATCATCCAGGGTTTTACCTCTTGTCAGACTAGAAATAATTCACTCCCCTCGTACTCTCCTGTAATTTCATCGGGATTAGACTCTGAAACTTGAATTTATCAATTTAATTAGGAATATTGCTGAGGACAATCAATTTAATAATGAATAAAAAAAGTACCTGGCTTTTGTCTTGAGAGTTGAGAGTTGGAGAGAGTGAAATGAAAGCTCACAAGATGTTAATTCTCCGTCTATCTCTATGCAAGGAATGCGAGCTACCTTCTCATGTCTCTTCTTCAGATACCTCTTCTTCAGAGAAGGACAACCCCGGATCTTCAGATAAGAAAGAGATGCCGGAAAACCCTCTTTTGGCAGGAATTTGAGACTCTCGCAACATGTAGGAGGGTGTATTCAATTGAGAATTTGAGAGACTTTATTGGATTTATAAATCCATGGATTTTTATGGAGTTTAATTGATTTGTAGAGATTCCATATAAAATTTTGATTCAATTCCCTCGAAATCTCATGGGAAGAGGTGAGATTTGTGGATATTTAAAATACACTACGAAATCTCTCCAATTCCCTCTAATTCCTCAACTTTCTCAAATTCTTTAAAATAAATTTCTAATTGAATACACCTTGAATGTTATAAACTTCTTTAAAATCTTAATTGAATACACCTGAATTTCTAAGGATTTTAATAAACTATTTTAAAATGCTAATTGAATACACCTAGAATTTCAGAGAATCACTTAAAATCCTGATTGAATACCCCTAGATTCATTAAAAGAATTAAAATCCCTTATAATCTCAATTGAATACACCCCCCGTAATTTCTAGGTGTTGAAGAGAAGTGAGGTGCTCAAGTCCCTTTCCGTCCAAAGATTTCAGATTCGATACAAACAAGATTTGGAGAGTGTGAAGAGTGGCAGGGAGCAGCTGTTCATTGAGCAACGTCTCCACCAGATCCTTGTTTCCTTCGATCCGAAATTGTCGAAGAGAGACAAGCCCTTGCAATCCCCATTCCACTGAAGGCCTCAGTCTGCTTACTCCGACGATCCCAAATGATTGTAGGTTGGGAGGCAAACCCCATTGTGCAAATGACACCACATTTGGAAGACCATATATCCAAAAATCTTGAAGGGCGGTGAGGGTGTGCATTCGGTCCGGCAACAACTTCAAATTCTCGCATCTCATGACTTTCAAGGAAGTGAGGTTGGGAGTGGGCAATCCCCCGTCGGGAAAAGAGACAAGATTTCGACATCCCATAATATCCAGGGAGTTGAGATGGCTGAGATTTTCATCTGCTCCTCCTTCCACAGAAAGGGATTCCAGATTCTGACAATCCTGTATTTCAAGAGATGAAAGTTTGGGGAAAATGCCCAAAGGGAACGACCTCAGAGAATCACAGCTCTCCCATATCCACAAAGACTGAAGGGAAGTCAATCTGGCCATCATCTCACGTGATAGGAATTCTAATTTCTTGCAATTTTGTATGCGGAGTGACGTCAGCGTGGTGGGCAGACCATTTGTAGGGAACGACAAGAGTGAGGAACATCTCCATAAAGTCAAACTTTGAAGACGATTGCTGTTGGGCAGCATTTGCGGCAACCACTTAATATCAACAGAAATAATATAAAGCATCTGAAGCGACAGCAGCGTCTCCGTCGACTCTAGTAACAATGACAGACCTGGGCAATAAATTAGTGTCAGTTCTTCAAGAGATACTCGTAAGGGTTCCGTGTTCAGGGTATTACTGGCCCTGCTTTCATGTAGAACCTCACACCAGTTGACATCAAGTGTTTTCAAGGAAGGAAGATGAGTGGGCAAGTTTCCTCTCAGCTTCGGACACTTGGATAGTTTCAACTCCTTAAGACGAGGAAAGTCTGGAATTTCACCTCCACTTGGACTAGGCAGCCATTCCTCCCACTCTGGCATGTCCGTAAACTCTAGCTTCTCTAAACATTGAAATGGTTGATTTCCCCCGTACAACTCAACACCAACACTCACAACTGATTTCATCCCTTCTACATACAACTCTTTGAGAGCTGGTAGCTGACCAACTGGTGGCAATGAACTGCAATTACTACAATTACTGAGACGCATCACTTGTAAGTTGGAGAAGGACGAGTCTCCCACCCAACTTGGGAAACTGATTCCGCCATAATACCTGATGGTTAGTTTCACCAAATTTACCGAAGGTTGAAGTCTTTCGAGCACATGTTTCTTTTTCACAAAATCATTGGAAACATCATAACCCCATGCCAACTCTACCTCATTGAGATCTTTCTTATCCTTCAGCAAGGCATCAATAGCACCGACTACATTTTGTAGATTCAAGATAGAAATTTTTCCTCCAAGGTGCGACAACTCCCTCAGTTCTCCAATGCTTGACCCAGTAGATTTCCCCAACACAAAAGCTGTCAGTGTTCTCAGGCTTTTTAATCTACCTATATGCACAGGCATTTTTTTTATGCGAGTTCCGCCAATATCAAGATGACGCAAATGAATTAATTTCCTCATGTCTGCAGGCAGTTTAACAAGAGAAGAACAACCTAACAACAACAGTGTTTGTAAATTGTAGAGGGTACACACTGTATCTGGTAACTTTTTAATTGTCGTATAAGAGAGATCGATGTAGCGCAAGTGTATGTGATTACCAATGGAATTAGGTAACTGATTGATATTTTGATACCTCGACAATGATATTACCCGTAAATATTTTTGTGCAGGCAGAAAATCATCTTGAACCTTATTGCTTACATATACTTGGTCATCCCTTTTGTCATATGGTGCTAAAGACACCGGAAAGAATGTGTGCAAATACTTCACTCCATCTAATGGCTGAAATTTTGAAGATGTATCAAATTTTCCTCTCATATACGAGAAGTGGCGAACTCTTTTATGAGCTTCCTGTGAATGTTCCAGATCCAACCTAAAACAAAACTCTCCAGACACAAACATAGCCAAGTCATTGATGAGATCATGCATAGTGAATCTTGGTGGATCCAATCTTGGTCTTTGAAACAGTGATCGAGATAACAGTTCGTCAAAGTATCTTTCACCAACCTCCTCCATTGTATTCCCACTCTCTGATTGTGGAATTAAACCTTCTGCCACCCATAGTAGAAGTACATTTTCCTTTTCCAATTCATAGCCCTTTGGAAAAATTGAGCAATAAGCAAAGCATCGTTTCAAGTAACTTGGAAGATAATGGTAACTCAATCTTAGAGAAGGAAGAACACTATTACTGTGTGGTAGATCCCAAAAATTGCTCTCCAATATGTGATTCCATTCCTTGTAGTCTAGGTTGCAACCTAAGAGACCCCCTAGTGTTTTTGAAGCTAAAGGCAAACCGTTGCACTTGTGTGCAATTTTCTTACCAACTTCTTCCAAGTCTGGATGTGCACTAGAGTTTTCATTTCTAAATGCATGTTTTGCCAGTAACAACCAGCAATCATCGTCCGACAATTTTTCCAAGTCATGAATTGGAATAGTATTCTGCACGATGGATGCAACACGTCTACTCCTTGTTGTTACAATGACCTTACTTCCCTTCGCCCCATAAGTGAAAAGAGTTCGTAGACGACCCCAGTCATCATAGCTCTCATTCCAAAGGTCATCTAGGACAAATAAAAATGTCTTTCCCCTTACTTGCTCCCTTAGTCGAATTTCAAGGGTATTCATATCTGAGATATCCCTCACTTGTTCCCTCCTTACTGGTTCCTTTAGTCGAATTTCAAGGGAATTCATATCTGAGATATCCCTTGCTTGTTCCCTTGGTCGAATTTCAAGGGAATTCATATCTGAGATATCACAAGATTTCTCAGTGATTTGTTCAATAAGGGTCTTAAGCACCCTCAAAGCATCGTACTGTTCGGTTACACAAAGCCAAGCATGAACGTCAAAATGCTCTTTAACTTGTTCATCATTGTAAAGAAGTTGAGCAAGGGTTGTCTTACCAACCCCGCCCATCCCGACTATTGGGACTACAGAAAAATTACTGCTACTTTCATTGTCAGATAGCAGCAGTAGTTTTTTTAACTTTTCTTTATCCTTATCCCTACCATAGGGACAGAATCCTTCCTCAACTACAGAAGTTGTGGGAGTTCTTTGTGAAACCATGCGCCCAATACCTTCTCTAAGACCAAGGCGATTTCGCTGTTCTGCAAGGTGTTCTAACCTCTGAAATAACTCCTCTATCCTACCATTCATGCCCTCATAATTAAAAGGATTACGAGAGGTAGAGAGGAAGTTGCACACCTGGGTTTGCTTAGTCTGATCTTTCACCTCGTGACGCAAAGCTTCAGTATCGATCTCATCCACCAAGTCCTCGGCTTCGAACACAGCATGTTTGAGCTCGTCAAGCCACATCCCGACGGCAAGGTTGACAATCTGCTTCTCCTCTGCGTCGTTGAGCACTGCATGAAGTGTAATCAATGTCACCTTCAGTTTGTCCATGAGTGAATGGTTGAGTCTTCTTGCCCGGAAGAAGGCCATGAACTCTCCCGAAGCAATCTTTTCGCACAGCACCTGGATCGAACCGGAGAGCAAAGCCTCTCCAACCAAAGCCATTTTCTCTTCGTGGCAAAAGGACTAATTTTGATCTAGTATTTGAAGTTGAAAAACTGAAAATTCTTTGTGAAATTCAAGTAGAGAACTAGCAAAGCCTGTTAAGATTATTATATGGCTCAACTTACTTCAAGAATAGTGAGACGACTTGCTATTTTTTGGTCAATAATGCAGTGGACCACATACGGCAAACATGGTGGTATTTGGTGGAGGTGCTTTGATGAAATTTCAGTAAAGTAGAGTGTAAAGGAATAATATGTCGGTTGGATGACATTTTACTGTGTATTTTGGTGGTGGTCATGTTAGGACTGAAAGTCTATCAAAAGCATTCAGAATGAATTATACCTACATATTTTCAATGAGTTATTAATCCGTACGTGTTAAACTGTTATTTGTTCAAATGAGTCGAACAATGTCTTTGATTGTTGAGGTGTTTTATACGAAAAGAAAATGATAAACACAAAATTTTGATTTTGATCACCACTATAACTACAGTTGTAGCTATTCTTTTTTTATTTTTAGTTCCTAGTAAAGATTTTGTATTTTCATCTAACGTGTTTGGAATGAATCTGAACTCTAAGTTGACCAAGAGAATAAATTTATGAATAAAACCCGTCATTCAGCTAATCCACATATTATAATATCGTTCATGTAAAGAATCAATTTTGGTAATTTATATCGCTTGATATGCTTCTGTAAATAAATTTTGTTGAATGTAATATGACTATTAGCACATATAATGATTAAACCTTACACGTTAATGCGCTGATCTTGTACCAATAATTCTGCAGACATGCATGAAATGTCTCTTGCAACGTTACACGGTTTGGTGGCGTAGTCATTTCAACTAGTAATTTGGAAGTATTCGTTTTTTCTCCTTTAAATAACAAGTTTGATTTTATTTTATTTATTTATTTTTTTTTTAAGACAGTTTGATTTTATTTTATAGTTGATTCATTGTATAAGAGAGCAAAAGCCTCTCCAACCAAAGCCATTTTCGATCTTCTTTGCAAAAGGAAGTTGGGAAGTAGAAATCCCGTTTCAAATTTTCAGGTGAGGAAGTAGAAAAGCCTGCTTAAGATTATATAGATATACTTCGTCAGTGGACTGTGGGGATGATGAAGTTGTGGACAATAGTAGGTGGTTGTGCTTCACAGAAAGCATCTCTCTTTTGTTTTTTTTTTTGTTAAAGTGAGACGAAACTTCAGGAAAGTTGTGGACAATAGTTGGTGGTTGTGCTTTACAGAAAGCATCTATCTTTTTCACTTTTACTTTTTAACTTTTGCTTCTTGGTTTTTTCCATATTTAAGGTAAGTTTACAAACTTAAATTTATATTATTATAATTTATACAACAACAAATAAATTTGGGTGGACTCGTATGTTAATCTTTTTAAGTAATTAATACTTGCATGTTAATTTTTGTAAGTAATTAAGTAATGTTAATGTTAATTGTTTTAAGTAATTAAGTAATGTTGTATAATTATTCCCTAGGATAATTTTAATATGTTTAATATTATTTATTATTTTATTTCCCTTACCATCTTCATTATCAAATTGGATTATTATTCATTAATATTAGGTTTTTTTATTATCAAATTGGATTATTATTCTTTAATATTAGATTTTTTTATTATCAAATTGGATTATTATTCATTAATATTAGGTTTTTTTATTATCAAATTGGATTATTATTCTTTTATATTAGGAATTTTTTTTATCAAATTGGTGGATTATTCATTAAATTGGATTATTATTATCAAATTGGATTATTATTCATCACCATGTTTTATATTAGGATTATTTTTTTATCAAATTGGTGGATTATTCATTAAATTGGATTATTATCAAATTGGATTATTATTATCAAATTGGATTATTATTCATCACCATGTTTTATATTAGGATTATTTTTTTATCAAATTGGTGGATTATTCATTAAATTGGATTATTATTATCAAATTGGATTATTATTCATCACCATGTTTTATTTTAGGATTATTTTTTTATCAAATTGGTGGATTATTCATTAAATTGGATTATTATCAAATTGGATTATTATTATCAAATTGGATTATTATTCATCACCATGTTTTAATATTAGGATATTTTTTTTATCAAATTGGTGGATTATTCATTAAATTGGATTATTATCAAATTGGATTATTATTCATCACCATGTTTTATTTTTTAGGATTTTTTTTTTATCAAATTGGTGGATTATTCATTAAATTGGATTATTATCAAATTGGATTATTATTCATCACCATGTTTTATATTAGGATTATTTTTTTATCAAAATTGGTGGATTATTCATTAAATTGGATTATTATCAAATTGGATTATTATTATCAAATTGGATTATTATTCATCACCATGTTTTATATTAGGATTATTTTTTTTATCAAATTGGTGGATTATTCATTAAATTGGATTATTATCAAATTGGATTATTATTCATTAAATTGGATTATTATTCATCACCATGTTTTATATTAGGATTTTTTTTTTATCAAATTGGATTATTATTATTACAATTGAATTATTATCAAATTGGATTATTATTCATTAAATATTAGGTTTTATTATTCCATATTATTTGTATAATTACTTAAATTTTTACAATCATTTTCTTTACTTTGTATTTAATTCTTCTGTAGAATAACTTTATTATTTAGGTTCTCTTATTTTTATCAAAAAATAATTGTCTAATTTTCATGAAAAATAAATATAGGTACGTTTAAGATGTCCAGTAAACGTGATCCAGCTTGGGAACATGGAGACCCAATAGACGGAAACAAACATGGCACAATTTGCAAATATTGTGGTCGGGTAATGAAGAGTGGCGGAGTGACACGACTGAAGTATCATCTTAGTGGATTAGATCCATAAAAAAATGTCCAACGATGCGATAATGTCCCCCCAGAAGTGAAGGCATTCATCAGCACATTATTAAAAAATAAAAAACAGCAGAAGGAAAAGATAACACAGGGAATGGAAAATATTCGAGCTGGGCTACGGGGAGAAGTCTATGGCCAAGCGGTTGACAGTGATGATGATGACGATGAAGACGAATGTGATGATGACATGGGACCTGAAGAACGACGCAGTTTGAAACAAGCATTACGTGCCTCCAAACAGTCAGCATGGGAAAGAGAACACCTTCATAAAATTCCTAATAGGGGACAAGGTTCCGGGACAAGTGGTGGTGCACAAATGAGACGGGGAGGCAATCTTAGAGAATCACAACCAACACCACCAATAGCCCCAAGTTTATATAAGTCATCCAACGCACGTCAAAAGAGTGTTTGGAGTTATTTCAAGGGAGGTAATGTGAACAGTGGCGGATCCAGGATTTTAACTTAGGGTGGTCCCAATATAAAAGTTCCAAAAAAAAAAAAACAAGACGAAAATATCATTGAACAAATAAATGGCAAACTACAAATTTCATTCATAATCTTTGTGCTAAACAAGCTAGAAATACTAAATTTGTCCACGACGGGATCTCATACTTTGAAAACGTGTCATGATAGTTTCATTGTCAATACAAGAAAAAACATCTTTCTCAATATAAACAACTAAGCTATCATTTAACCATTGATCCTCCATTCTGTTGCGGAGTGGACTCTTAATGATATTCATGGCAGAAAATGCTCTCTCCACTGAAGCAGTTGCAACAGGTAAAACCAAAGCCAATTCAATAAGTAAATACACATATTTAAATACAAAAAATTTATATCAATTGATGAAACTAAACAAATATTATATGAACACTATGGCAATGCTAGAGATGCATATAGCAAAATGCAGACACACACAAAACAAAAGATTATAATAACACCAATACACAAAACAAAAGATGCATATAGCAATATAAATAATACCTCAGGTACGTAGTTGGGACTCACAAAACTCATTGGTGCTGTTTAATTGATTGTTTATTTAGGGTTTGTTCTGTTAGTGTGCTTCATTCAATGAGATTTGGATTCTTAGGTATAGGCATCTTAGACAGACAAGAGTGTTTGCATTGGGAAAAAATTTAGGAGCTACAAAACTGTGCTTTGATTTACAGAAAACTAAAAAGCGCCACTTTCGACTCAATAGAGAAACATCCACACGCCAACACCATACAAGCAAACCAAAGCAAAGCAGAAGGAAGGAACGAGAGCGAGAAGAGAGTACAAACCTGATTCAGATTCAGATTCAGATTCAGAAACTAGAGTGCAGTGCAGAAGAGAGTTGATCGATGCCGACGCCGTAAGGAACGAGAGCGGACCTTGTTGTGTGAAGGATTTGGTAACGAGAACGAAGAGAGTTGAACGATTTGGTAAAGTGAAGTTGTGAATCTTGTGATTGCTGTGTGAAGGAGCTGAGTCTGAGGGTTCTCACGTGAGTGGGCAGTGAGGTTTTAAATTTTTTTTAATGACTTGGCTCAAAACGACGTCGTTTTGGCCAAGTCATTTTAAAAAAAAATTGGCTTTCTTCTTCCCCATTCTGAAATGTACACGACCAGAGCAGCCATGGATGCTGTTCTTCTTCCATCACTGCCCAAACTTGGGTGGTCCTTGAAGATCCTCACAGCCATTTTTCCGAGCTTCGGGTGGTCCCGAGACCACCCTGGTCCCTTAATAGATCCGCCACTGAATGTGAAGGAGGGAATGGGGTGTCTAATTAGCAAGTTCTTTATCTATGAAAATGTCCCTGCTGCGAAGGCATCATCACATCATTTCAAAAATATGGTAGTGGGATGTCAACAAGCCGGTGTTGGAGTACAACCTCTCACTCCCTATGAGATAAGAAACAAATATTTGGATATGGAGTATAAAGACATTGGCAAGTATGTTAACAAGTTGAGGTCAAAGTGGGAAACTAATGGTTGCACAATCATGTGTGACGGATGGACCGGCCCGACCAGATTATCTATCATCAACTTCATGGTATACTCCAAGGGAAAGACAATTTTTTTGAAGTCTGTTGATGCTTCAGACCATATAAAGAATTACAAGTATATTTACAAATTATTGAGGGATGTAATCATGGAGGTGGGAGAGCATAATGTTGTCCAAGTCGTGACCGACAACGGTTCTGCATTTGTCAAAGCTGGAAAAAAGTTAATGAAGCATCATAATGTGTTTTGGACATCATGTGCAGCACATTGTATTGATCTTATGTTTGAGGCAATGGAGAAGAGAGAGAATGTTGCTACTGTGGTCAA